GCCACTAGGCTTTCTTCCTTAGTTTAAAATTAACAATTCTTCAATGAATTTGATTGCTGCTCCAGGCATTAGCAAATCCTGACAGTGTAAATGCTGAGCAGAGAGTGTGCTAAGGTGTGCACATCCCTCAGAGATGGCGGAAGTGCTGGAAGAGTCTCCAGCACTCCATTCCTCTTATTTTTCTGACACTATACACATTAGAAAGAAAGAAAATCAGTTTTTTATTCCTACACAGAAAGGCCTTTTAAAGTGCTGAGTCCAGGGGCTGGAGGGGTAGCTCAGTAGCAGAGCATTTGCCTAGCATATGTGAGGCTCAGCACCAAGAGAGGGCTAGTCCAAATAAACAAGGGGTGGGAAAGTAGAAGAGAAACACACACACACACACACACACACACACACACACACACTTTCTCTCTGTCAATTGTGGAGAAATATAAAACTCAAGCTTCCTAGCTTTTTGCATAGGCTAAAATCTGTAGAGCAATAGTATGATTTGCACACAGATAGTACTCCCTAAGAGGTCCATATATAAAGGCATGGTCCCCAGGGCGGCAACACTGGGAGGTAGTGAAACCTTTAGGATGTTGGGTCTTGTGGGGGAATCCTTATGTCATTAGGGGCATGCCCTTGAGAGGGACTGTGGCACTCCCCCAGCCTTCCATCTCTGTTCCCCATCTCACTATGAGAGTGATTTGATCCCATGCACGTTCCCAATTATTGCCATTCAGTGTCCTCATCAGAGTCCCACACCAATTGGACTAGAGCCTCCAGGACCACAACTGAAAACAAAACCAAACTGCTCCTGTTTCATAAGTGGCCTATGCTGTGTGCTTCATTATAGTGACACAAAGCTGGCTCATACAGGTAGTAAATACAAGTCATCTTTCCTAAAGCTGGTAAAATTAGGGTGAGTTTATTTCCCTGTCTTCCCATGTACATTAACTCTATGCATATGCACACGTGAGCATACACACACACACACACACACACACACACACACGCTGTTAAAGTGACAGGCCTTAATAGCGCAAGAAGTGCTGGAGAAAATATGGAACATGTAGCAGAGAAGGAAGACGCCTGATGTACTTCAGGCATAGCAGCAGGGGGCCCCACTACCCAGGTGTCTTCCAGGGCTGGGCTGGTTGGTCTGGCCAAGAACCCATTTTGCCATAAAACTCCCATGTGTGATTCTGCAGTGTGAGTCTCGTGTGTAGTCTGTGCAAAGGCCTTTGCATGGTGCTGCAGAATAGATGTGAAGTGACTTATCTCCAAGGATTCATGTGTGGGAAACTTAGTCCTCTGACCATGGAGAGAGTGTGGGACCTTCAAGAGGTGAAGTAACTGGGTCACTGGGAGTGTTGCCTAAACAGGGATGAAGGTAGCTTTTGTGGGGCCATAGCTAATTCTTGAAAAAGGGTTGTTATTAAAAAAAACAAGTCAGAACCTTTTTTTCTCTGGTTTCCTGAATCACCATGTGGTCTTTCCCTCACACACGATCTCACCATGATGTCATCTGCCACTATCTGACATAGCTGGGGTGTCCCTTGCCAGAGCCAGCACCAGTACCACACTGTTTGGACATTCTGCCTCCAAAACAGTGAGCTAAATAAAGTTCTTTTCTTTAAAAAGTTCCTGGACTCAGGCACTTCATTATAGTAACTGAAAACAGGTGAATGCAGATGATGAGTAGAGGAATAGGCCCAGGCCTAGATACTAAGCCAGGTCCTAGATCATTTTCCTTGTTTGTGGACTAGAAATAACACATTCCTCTATAACTCTTTGTTAGAAAGGTAAACAAATGATTGAGTGAGCCAGAGTAGGAGCTTCTGGGAAAATTTCCAAGCAAGAATCCTTCTATCAACTAGAAGAAGACAGGCTTCATAAATTTTCACTAAAATTCCTAGACAATAATACAGTCAGGACTGGGCCATTTTTTTGCACAAAGGTTTATTTTATAAATTGCAAGGGAGAAAAAATAGTATGAGATATTCTGCAAATGTTTTGTAATATGTCTTATGTCACAAGTATTGTAATATGTCAATGAGGGAAGCTTTTGAAATGCAAAGGCTGATCCATTAGCATGTCATGAAAGTGATTCACTAGGGTCTTGCTTGGTCTTAAAAAAATCAAAACCCAAACTGAAAAACAAAAACAAAATGAAATTTAAAAATCTAGAAGAACAGAACAATAGGATGAACCAAAAGAAAAATACCAGAATGCTGTGTACACAACAGGAATAACTTGTTCTGTGAAACTGGACGGGGAAATAAAATACATTTTTCTATGGGTCATGGTTGAACAATTTGAAAGCAGTTATATTAGATAACGTGGAAGATCTGTTGCTTGTTGCCAAAATAAAAAAAGAAATTTGAAATTGGACGTCACCATTGTCAGTCATGGTTGTAGATAATCCCCTTATCTTGCCTCTCCTGGGATAGATGAAGGGGTATAGGTGAGGAACTAGTGGATCTGTGGCTCATGGCTTTATTAAAAATTTGCTTCAGAGTCCATCATGAATGGAATCAAGGTGATCCATATAAGCTTTCTGTCCCTGTATGATAAATTACCACAAGCTTAGTGGCTTAAAAAAAATACCCATTTATTACCTCTGTTTCTGTAGGTCTGAAATCTGGGCAAAGATAGAACATGGTTCTCTGCTTAGAGTCTCATGTGACTGATATGGTCCACAGTTGACTACTAATGTTGGTTTTGCTTTGCTTGTATAACTGGTCACCTTCAATAGCAGGATCCAAGGCATTCCCTGCAGGGTCCTCTTATCCTAAAATGTCCTCCCTACCCCATCCCAAACTCCTATTAAAATTTCCTCCTTTTGTGCTGGAGATATGGCTCAGTGGTTGAGCAGTTGCCTAGCATGTGCAAGGCCCTGGGCTTGATCCCTAGCACTGCAAAGAAAACAAAAATCATTCTATACCTTTCACTCAGAGTCCCCTTACAACTCTAAACAATTACAAGAGCAATTCTTTAATAACTGCTAAATGAGAAAGCAAGCCAACTTACAACAGGCATACAACGTGAGCAAGAAATAAACATCTGCTGTTCTAAGTCCACAGGACTTTGGAGATGTTTGTTACTGCAGCATAACACAGTCTATTCCAACACAAAAATGTTAGGAGAAAAGAACACATGTTGGGTATTTGGCTACTAAGGGATCTTATGCTTGTGAAGATGTCAGGTGCAAAAACTTGAGTCTTGATGCTCAGAGTGAAGTGACAGATCAGTAAATGCAGCATTACCGTGAAGGTAGTGAGAGCTACAGACTCAGGGCCCTGCCTGAGATCTACTGAACCATAACAAGATTTCCATGTGGTTCAAACAAAGAGTGAAGTTTGAGAAGTAGTGGTACAGACAGCTGAAAGTGAAATTCTAAAGCCCCTGCAGTAAATCTGAGCATGAGGTATAAAAGGGACAGCAATCCACACATTGTAGGTTCTCCAAGTGTGGTCCTCGGTGCAGTCGCTTCTCTGTCACTCAGGGGCTCCTTAGAATTGCAGATTCCTGGGGCTCAATCAAGACCTACTGAATCTTGAACTCTGTAAGTGTGACCCAGTGTTCTGTGATCTAACAACCTTGCAGGGGATTGTCACGAACACTAAAGCTCGAAAACCACTGCTGGATGCCAATGGGAGTTAAAATTAGAGCAGTTAAATCTCTTTTTCTTGGACAAACGAAGAAGCAAAGGCTTCAGATACAATATTGCTCCCCCGGGGAAAGACCATCTGCTTTATGATGACGTTCTGTGTGATGTGTCTTCCAGGTGTACCCTGGGGAGAGCAAGGCCTGGCCTTGACAAGGTTCTTGCCACTGTGGTACAACCTCTGCTTTCCTTTCAGATGGAAGTTCCAGAATGGTGCGCTGGGTAAAGAGGAAAGGGAAGTATATGGAGGGCCAGAAAAGGATGTGGGCGCCAAAAAACTTCTTTGCATTTTGCCTACCCTGGTCTTGCAGGGCCAGTCTACACTGGGAACACTGTGGTCAGTGTTCCAGGGGACATCGCCAGTGCGTGCCTCCCTTAGAAACATCTCTCCACTTTATCTCGAGTGCAGTAGTGTAAGAAGGGGGGGTCCACACAGCCACATGCTAAGCCACACTGGTAGCTCTGACCATGTTCCTTTCAGGATGCCATAGTCCCATTCATCAAATCCTGTGATGTTAGTTCAAAACTAAAGTTAGTCCACATTCCTGGCGGCAGAGAAAGAAGAGCTGTGATATGCCTAAGAACCTGCAGATCCGTGAAGATTCTCCTTAACTTTGGTGATTCTGCTTTTTAAAAATAAGCTCCTAATTGATGCCCATGCTGCCGATTCTCATTCTCAAAACATCCAAAATTGGAGAGAATCTCTGAATGAGAATGAGGCCCAGCAGCTTGGGCATCACGTAGGCGCTTATTAAAAAGCAAAATCTTGGGCCATATTCCAGGCGCAATGAATCACTGCAGTGAAACTCCCTAGATTATCCGGAAACAAAAGACACACGAGAAACTCCAATTCTGCCCACCCATGCTACTTACAAAATTGAGCTAACCAAAATCAAATCCATACAAAAAATTATAAATGATCATACACTCAAATGGTCTTTGATAACAAAGCACCATAAGGTCAGAACTAAAAATTAGTGGTAAAAATTTCTTTGATTATAAAAAAGCCACAAGACTAGTAAAAACAAGAGGATACAGATGGCATAAATGAACGGACCTTGCAAATTGGTGATGTCCACTTTTACAGTACCAGTTTAGTGATAATGACAATATTAGTAGTATCGCTTTTCTTACAAATGTCATCTATAGTTCCAAAAGCTTGCTGACTAACGTTATGAAGATAGAAGAAATGTTTTATACCATGCTCCAGATCAAACACAGAACCTACATGCGCTGTGCATCTCAGTTGTGGATGATTCACACAGGAAGTGACTCTCTTAGTTTCTTGCTTTCCATCTTGCTCTACCCACCCCTAAACAGCTTGTCTGTCATAACCCACTCTTACCTCTTGGGGTTGTTGGTACTGAGAGGCCATGAGGAGGAAAGCCCGCTGGGCTTGGAAAGCCCCGTGTACCATTTCTGCCTGCGAATAAAGAGGAAGACAGCAGTTTCAGTGTTTGGGTTCCTAAACCAATAATTACCATATGACCCAGCCATTCCACCCCTACCAGTATATCCAAGAAAGATGTAAACATATGCTCACCCCAAATCTTGTAAAGGAATGTTCAGAGCAGCATTATTCATACTAGTCAAAACAACTGTGGAAACAATTCTAATATCTGCCAGTGGATAATGGATAAACAAAATGTGATGTGTCCATACAATGATGTATTATTCAGCCTTAAAAAGAATAAAGTACTGTCACATGCTACCACATAGGTGAATCTTGAAATCATCATGCTGAGTGATGGAAACCAGTCACAAAGAGCACATTTGTACCACCCCATTGATATAAAATGTCCAGAATAAGAAAATTTATAGACACAAAACAGATTAGTGGTTGTCAGGATGCTGGCACAAGGGAGAAAGGGGCAGTGAACTGTGGATCGGTATGGGATTTCTTTTGAGAGTAATGAAAGTGGTCTGGAATTAGTGGTGATGATTTCACAACTTGGTGAATATAATAAAAATCATGGAATTATACTCTTTAAAAGGAATGGACCCTCCCTCCCTCCTTCCCTTCCCTTCCCTCCCTCCCTCCCTTCCTTCCTCTCCTTCTCCCTTGCCCTCTTCCTGTCTTTCTTTCTTGTACCAGGGATCAAACTCAAGATTTTGCACCTGCGAGGCAAGTGCAGCACCACTGAGCAAAATCCCCCTCCTGTCCTCTTTTTGAGTGTGACCAAAATCTGTTCTACACCTTCTAGTGGAAAGAGAATCATCCCTTAAGCCATGACCATGATAATATGCTCACCAAGAATCAGTGATCTTATGAGATCCATTAAGATGGATTTGAAAAGAAATTTTCATAGTCATTTGGGGTCCACCTTGACTGAGCTTCCCCCAATAGGATGTGTGCAGGTGGGAATGGCCTCAAACACATTCTCTTTTTCTTACCCTCTACTCACACTTAACTAATTAAGTGCACCAAGAAAAAATATTTTGAAGTATCCATATCAACCAAGATTAGCCATTTTCAAACATTATTTCTAGTTTAAAGAAAATTCACACAGTGTTTCCATAATGTAAAACAAATGGATATGGAATAATTTTTAAAAATATAGACACTATACTTGATCCCTAGCTTTACCACCATCACCACCACTGACAATAATAACACAAAGAAATACTGAAAAAGAAGTATGCAGAGAAATTTACAAAAAGGGACCATATCTAGTACTATTCGAAGCATACATTTACATTATAATTAAACAGTAGAGACTAAAAAGAAAAAGACTGTTAAACTTCAAAGAAAAATTTCTGCACTGTAATAGTTATTATATCTCAAATGATCAATCTGAGGTTTAAAAAAATCATAAAATATTAAGAAACAGGATTATGTGTTTGCATTTCAAAAAACGTATTATAATTTTAAACAGAATTGGTTGGCTTCTTGCTGAAAAACATGAGAACATAATTACTCTCACACCTTTTCCATTTCTGGTCCCCTCTTCCATATGTTTGAGTTATTATTTTTATTTTGCTCACCTCATGGCATTCAAATTCTATCTGTAATGGCAATTTCCATAGTTGCTTAGCATTAGTTCTACATTTAAAGAAACCTGGTGGTTCTCACCATAGCCGCTCCACTTCTAGATATTCTGTTATGTTTTGTTATTGGATGGACCCTCATTACCAAGTATTTCCTCCTCCAAGATCTCAGAATTGCTTTATTCTTTTGGGTTTAAGCATTTCTCCTGGTTGCCTTCATATTTAACATCTTGGCAGGCTTGTATCCTTGGGCCCCTTTCCTCCTCCATATCCAGAGCACAGCTCCAAATGGAGAAGTCCGAGACTAGTTTGATGTTTTCCTTCCCTGTAGGAAACTGACTTACTCTGATATGATCTCTGAAGAATTGTTTCTTTATCCTTGAGAATAAGTAGCTCAACTATGATGTGTTTGGGGTTTGAGCATTCTATATTGTATTTCTTGGAAAGAGTTAGTCCTTTTTCAATTTTTGGAAAATTTTCTTCTTTTAATAAAATGTCTTTTGCTCCATTTGTGAAAGTCTCTATTCAGAGTCTCTAATTGCTATCCTCATATTGTGTAATGTTTGAATGTCTTCATGTCTTTTAGACTCGGTCTCTAATTTATTATCTGTCTAATTTATTATCTGTCAGCTGTGTACACTCTGGTCATGTGAATATATATTTTTTTATTGTTAGTAAAAAATTTCAACCGGTCTCATACAATAAGGCATATTTGTCTCCATTAATGTTGTTTTTAGTTCTTGATTTGTTAGGCTTTTACTTCTTTTCATTCTTATTGTTTTATCACTAAAAATTAAGCTATTTTAAATTTATTTTTATACTCTCGTTAAGTTCTAAGACTGTAATTTATGCAAATTATGCTTTTTTGTGTGTGCTGGGGATTGAATTTAGGACCTTACAGTTGCAAGGCAGGTGGTAGCACCACTGAGCTAAATCCCTGTCCAGTTATACACTTATTAAACCATCACAAGGAATCTGTTGGGTTAAATTTATTCCCTTCAAAGGTGCTATAGTTTGGATCCAGACTGTCCTCAAAAGCCCATGTGTTAGCAACATGGTCCCAAGTTTGGTGCTGTTGGGAGGTGGTGGCACCTTTAGGAGATGAGCCCTAGGGTGAGGTTTTAGGATGCTAGGAGTCCTCCTCAAAGATGACTGTGGCACTTTTTCTCTTCTGCCCTCTCTCTTCCCCCTTTATTCTTGGCCATGAGGTGAGCAGCTTTCTTTTCCACTCACAATTGAGTAAGGATGTTTTCTAAATTGTAAAAGAGAGACTTTATAACCTGATAATTCTATACCTAGCTAACCTATCAATCGAAGGTTAGGCTAGAATAAAAATATTTTCTGACATTCAAGCTCTCGGAAGTTATCTGTATTTGTTCCCTTTGTTGCTTTCAAAGCTAAAAATCAGTTCCACCAGAAACAGCATAAGCCATAGAAAGGAGATTTGTTATACAGGAACTGGGGAGGCAAGACAGGAGAGGGACAAAGGAAAGACTCTGAATGTGAGCTGAATATGCAGCCTAATGAGCCCAAGACTGGCTGGAATTGAAGGACAGCTCCAGGAGAGATGCTGTCAAGTAATAGTAACAGTAATAACAGTAATAAATTAATGAGTCAAAAGAAAAAGAAAACTATTATCTGACAGCTTGAATACTTTGAGAGGAAATTTAGATTTCTGTGGGAAATTTGGGGGTCAATTTAGTGTAATACTGAAAAATAAGCCAAAAAAGATTAATAGTTAATTTCATGTATGAAGATGTACTATCTTACTATGGCCCAAACCTCTAAAACCATGAGCCAAAGAAATCTTTCTTCTTTTAAGCTGTTTATCTCAAGGGGCTGGGGATGTGGCTCAGTGGTGCTGAGCCTGCCTTGCAAGCTGAAGGTCCTGAGTTTGATCCCCAGTATGGCAAAAACAAACAAACCAACCAAACAAACCAAAATAGATAACGGCAGATCCCAGGTGCCTTGATTCCTAAGCTTTTTATCCCAGGTATTTTGTCGTAGTAATGGAAAGCTAACAGAATGGTAATCTTATGTCACTCTACTTTGCACACTGTGTTCTATTTTCACACACTACTGTAGCTACCATGCTGATTCATCTTGCTCATGCTTGACCCACTCTGTTCAGATACTTTTTTTTCTAATAAAACGTAGGTGAATGAGTCTCTTGCCATTATACTGGAGATCAGTGTCTTTTCCTTTTTAAGCAACAGTTTGAAGACAAGATGCTTTGTACACTGTCTTCTTTTTAGGACACATAGAACAGGAGTAGGGAAAGGAAGAGCTCGGCAGTGATGCTGGAGTATAGTTTCCGGCTAACACTACTTGTTCTGCGAATGCGTTCAGTGAGGTAAACCAGGATTCAGTCCACCTAGCTGCAACACATGCCGTTCTGATGGAGAAAGTGCTCCCTAAGGGTTTCTATCATTTCGGTAGTGCAGAGCCTGCATACAAAGCCTGCCCATCTACAGACAAAAGCAGTCCATGGGTTTCTTTGACTGTTTCCTATTCTCCTTTCCTGACTTTGTTTCTTCTAAGGCAAGTCTTTAACGGGTAGGGAGGATGGGCTCACAAGGACCAAAACTGCTCAGCCACCAGTTATTGACATGAATTGCTTTAGATTATGACTTCTTTTTAGACTATGATTTCCCATTTTTTGCTCATTTGTTGGAAAAGAAAAAAAAATTTTTTTTCTTGAAATAAATCTCCTTGAAAAGGGTAACTCAGTTTTATTTGGTCATGAGTTTTATTTGGTCATGAGTTTATATATTTTTTTTAGTTATTGATTTCATCTTTAATCTCCTCCTTCCTGTTTTGGGGCAGTTTCTATCTCTACTATCTTGAATATGACTCACTTCTACAACAAGTAAGGACCAACCTAACACATTTTCACAGATATCTTAGAATAGCAACAAAAATATTGATTAAGTTAAACTCATCCCAGTGTCAATATTAGGCAAATTTCTGGGCCAGAAGGATAAAGTGTTAAATAGGAAATGACTAGTTTTTATCATTCTACTTCCTTATCATGTTTTGGGATCTGACAAATTTTCCAAAATATTTACTGAAATGAACACCTTAATCTTGCTTCTAATTTTCATCATTACTTCTCATCTAAGGGTCTTTTTTTCAATTTAGAAGAAAATGCCTGGAATCAAACCAAGATTTATAGACTATTTACATTTAAATTACAAATTCAATCATCATCAACCTAACAGAGTAAATCTTATGAATGTTAAGATGAATGTATTTTTCCCCTTAAAGACATTTTGAAGTGTATCATGTTCTCCCCTTTGTTTTGATTGTCTTGATTGCTAGGACTATATTACCAACAAATCTCAAAATCTGGATGTTCTTTAGGGACAAATAGAGAGTTTGTAAATTTAGGGAGGCCATACCACCTTATGAATGTGAAGTTCTGAGCTGCTTGAA